CAACGTGCCTACGAGAGCTCTTTACCGTGTACGCAGCGGCGTGTCTCCTGCTGAGATGTTTGCACCTTAGCAAAAGAGGTGCCTTCAAGGGGCAAAATCTGCCCTGGCTCCGCAGCCCTATGCCCAGCCGCACGCAGCGGCATGTCTCCTGCTGAGATGTTTGCACCGCAGCCCTATGCCCAGCCAGCTTGGCTGATCTTCTCTTTCAAAAGAGAACTTGGAAAGCAGCAACCAAATGCCAAAGCTCAAGCAACCTTGCAGGGGCTGGGGGGTAGCCTCAAATTCCTGTTGGATAACCCACGAGGCAAAAATTCCAGAGCAATACCCACTCTCATCTGGTGGGAATTTTCTGTAGCTGGAGCTGGGGTGGCTTCTGAAAGAAAAACACAGTGAGCTGAGAGGAGGGCGAGCAACGCTGGGGATGTCTGAAGGCAGCAAGAAAAGACTCTGCAGAAGATGCAGGTGGCTCTGGGGCCACCTCCTTGGAGCGTCACCTCTTGGAGATGCTACTGAGGCCGAAATCCAGCAGTGAACTTGCAGGCTGGGCTGGAGAGGTGCCCATTCTGCCCGGCCACCCGTGCTTGCACTAAAGCCTTTCCTCCAGCTCTCCCACACGGGTTTGCTGCCCTCCCACCCATCCCAGACCCATAAGCCAGGAGGTGACACATGCTGGGAAGGAAAGAAAAAAGAAAATTAGTGGGATATGCTGTTCCCGAGCAAGTTATTGCCATGCAGAGGAGAGGGCTCGTTCGCGGGAGAGACGCTGCCTTCCCAAACCCAGCAAAAGACCAATGCACCGTTCATCCCAGGAGGATTTATTGGCATAGCAAGGTGAGATGGAGAGCCTGGTCTCCATAGGGACCTTTATAGGGTTTTCCAAGCAGCTGCAGTCCATGGTAAATGTTCTGGTTTGCAGACCCTTACTTCTTCCTCCGCTTCTGAAGTCTGGTGCTGGGCTTCCCACCACGCTTGCCTCTGGTGGGGTGCCTTGATTTGGGGCATTCCCCCTTGGAGGCTGGGCTGGGGGACTCTGAGTGCGCTGGGCTGGCAAGGGGGGTGGCAGGAGGGGGTCTACTGGGGGAAGGGGCTGTGGCAGCTGCTGGGACCAGCAGTTCATGCTTCTGCGGGGTGCTGGAAGGGAATAACTCCAGAAAATTGGAGGGCAGCGATGGCCAGTCCATGTCTGTGGTGGGGAGGTCCCATGGGCTGGCCATGGGCTGCAGCAAGGGTCCCACAGCAGAGGCGATGGTGGCCAGGGAGCGGGACATGGCCCGGATCTCCCGGGTCATGGACACCAGGTGCCTGTTTGCCCTGTGGTGAGATTGCAGGAGGCGATCACCCATCTTCAGGAGCTCATCCGCCTGCTGCACATTGGACCTAGCCCAGCCACTGAAATCTTCCTGCAGGGAGGTCAGAGAGTCCTCCCGGATGCTCCTGGGAAGAGGCACAGTGTCCCCACGGGCAGACCGCGAGTCCTTCTCCGCTTCTTCATCCCTCTGCATCAGAAGGGCTGGAGGTGTGGGTTGGGTAGGGGATATATCCCCTCCCTGGTCTGCACATACGTGTTCTCTGCCGCTGGAGGGGTCCGACACAGGGGCAGAGGGCTGGTGGTGGGCAGGCAGTCCCACAGGCAGACCTCCATTTGGTTGGCAATGCTCCCCAGGAGGCTCGAGGTTGAGGATCAGGGTGGTCTCGTCTTCAGGCAGGGAGTTGTGCTGGGGAGCGGAGGTACCTGTCACAGGGAGGGGGGCTGAAGGGAGCAGGAGGGGAGAATCAGGGCTCAGAGGGTTCTCTCTGCCTTGGTAGAGTGGAGGGGGGAGATGGAGGGAAAACGCCTACCATGGGATGGAGATGGAAGGAGCAAAGTGGGAGGCAGCTTGTCCCCAGAAAACCCCAAGTTCCATCCGGGACATCACCCCTGGGCTCTTCTACGGACTGTGCATGAGCTTGCCCTGGGGGAGCTCCATGGTGGATACCCACAGAGGGCCAAGGAGGACACTGGTCACAGCCCAGGTTTGAAGGCAGCAGCAGGGGGATGGAGCAGAAGACCTTGCAAAGTCTCTTCCTGCCATTGCTTTTTTTCCCCCCATTTTCTGAAATGATGCTACCACCTTCTGACCAAACCTGGATCATCCAGCACACCATCCCTGCACACACCACAGATCCCAAGGCCCTCACCATTCCAAAACCACCAGCACCTCCATCACAGCGCTGCTGCCAAAGAGCTGGGGGAAGACCTGGGCAAACCTAGCAGTGGTCATGGACCTCTTGCCATCCCTGTCGGGGAGTTCTCCTGGGGAACATTTCACCTTCCTATTTGAATGCACCATCACGAGGTGGTAATCAACAACCCAAAGGGGAATTGCCCCAGAGGGTTGCGGACAAAGATTCAGCAAAGACAAACTGGCTGGAGATCTGGGGAGCAGAAGTGGTCAGTGGGTACCAGGACACTAAGGCCTGGAGGATGGTTATGATCCCTGAGGGACCTGCACACGTCACCAGCACAAACGTGTCTCAGAGAGGATGCAGAGTTGATCCAACCCTTCCACCTACTTCCTCCTAGCCAACACCAGCCTCTCAGAGCCCCTGCTCCACACGCCCCATCTCAAGGTGCTGCTCACCTCCCTTGTCTTTCAACCCATGGCACGGCTCCATCCCAAGAGATTCACCGTGTTCCCTCCCAGAACAACTGCGTTTGGGGGACCACCACACTCCACAAGGGCAAGAGACAAGCCTTGCTTTGGAAGTGATGGAGGCAACAACTGTATCCGTCCTTGGGGGAGGTTGGAGTGTACTCACCGCAGGAACAAAGGCTGGAGGCACAGGTCCATCAAGTCACCACTTGGAAGGAGACTTGAAACTGATGGAGAATATGGTCTAACCAGGGATTATAACCTTCAACTCTGCTTTTGGTCCTCTCCTCCCCAGCCCACCTGGCCAAGTGCCTCCTCACCTGGGTGCCTCGTGACGCGCTCCACCAGCGCCTGCAGCTTGGCTCTGCACTCGCCCAAGTCCCCGGGCTGCGTTCGATCCTCAGCCGCCGCAGGTCCTCCAGCGAGTCCTTGATGAAGGGCTGCATGTCCATCACCTCCTGCTCCGTGGCGTAGAGCCTCATCTTCTCCACCAGCCGCTCGCTCGCCTCCATCCGCCGCAGCACCCCCTCCACCTGCTGCAGCTCCCTCGCCAGCTCCTGCCGGCCCTGCTCCTGCCGCGCCTCCACCAGCCCCAGCAGCTCCTCTTCCTCCTGACAGATCAGCCGCACCAGCTGCTCCACGCGCTGCTGGATCAGCTCCCGCATCTCCCGCTGCGCTTCCTCCAGCCGGGCGGCCTCATCCTGCAGCGTCGCGTAGCTCGCCTCGAAGCCGCTTCTCTTCTGCTTCAGCTGCCGGCTCATGGTGCTCAGCTCCTCCTGCCTGCGCTGGGTCTCGCTGCGGACGTCGCAGAAGGGAGCGTGCTGGCTGTCCAGCAGCGCGCATGAGCAGCACAGCGCCTTGCAGCACTTCTTGCAGTAGATGCTGAGAGGCCAAGCACAAGCAGAGCAGTCGTTTAGGCCATGCACTTTGCAATTAATTCATTTATCAAATTGCAAATTCATTCATTCATTGAATTTAAGTTACCACCAAGTTTGGGCCAGGCATTTGGTTTTATACCAAATGGTGGTGGGGGTTGGTCTCTTCTCCCCTGTAACTAGTAATAGGACAAGAGGAAGCAGTCTCAAGTTGTGCCAGGGGAGGTTCAGGTTGGATATTAGGAAGAATTTCTTCACTGTAAGAGTCGCTAGGCATTGGAACAGGCTGGCTCGGGGGGGGGTGGGG